CAGCATCAACTTCGAACCCTGGAGAGCCAGCATCAAAGGGCCCAGGTGAGCCGTGTAACTCAGTTCGACGTCCAGAGGAGTGGTGCAGCCTGCAGGCGCAACCCCAGCTGATGTGAGGCCGCTCCTGTCCCAATGGTAAGAAAATATTAAAATTGGTAGAAAATAAAATTAGACTGAAAGATGTTGCATTTACTAAAAACCAGTAGAGAAAATCAATGTATGTCACGCTTGATGAAAACACGTTCTTTTTTAATGTCCTACCTTCAAGCACACAGAATCCTAAAAACCAAACGAGTTGCCCTCAAGTCAATTCTGACTCATGGAGACCCCATGTGTGCAGAGTAGAACTGCTCCATGGGCTTTCAAGGTTTCCCGCTTTCAGAAGCAGATTGCCAGGCCTGTTTTCTCAGATGTACCTAGGTGGGTTGAAACCAACAACCTTTCAGCTGATAAGTCATTAAACCATTTGTGCCACCCAGGGACTCCATAGGACCATACCTTCGGCAAAGCCTTCCTATCCATGAGTAAAAGGCCAGGTGTGTTTGTGCGGGGGGCCTGTCTGGCTATGTGCTGGCCCCTGTGGCCAACCTGCTCTCCTACTAGCACCCACCACAGCAGCATCAGTCCACTTACTCCCTGAGCACTGATGATCTGCCAGGTGCTGGGCCATCAGAGTCGTGAAGGGACAGATGTGCAGAGAGGTCACCACGAGCAGAATGGGAAGGGCAACTACTGTGGAAGGGACTCGCCACGACCCACCCCAGATAGCTCCCGGGACTGCAGAGAGACGGAGGCGGCTTCACAGAGGAGGGGGATCTAACACAAGAGAGTGAGAGCATGTGTGGGGGTTCGGGGTACAGAGAGTGAGAACATGGGGACAGGCTTCACGCAGAAGCTTGAGACCCTGGACCAGCAAGGTGAGGGCTGCTGGCGCACAGGTGAGGGGCAGACAGGGGGGTGGAGGGAGACGTCTGTGTGTCGGGAAAAGGGATGTGGGCTCAGTTCAGTAGGGATGGAGAACGAGTGGTGGGTTTTAAGCGGCAGAGTAACATAACCCAATTCACAGTTTTGAAAAATAACGTGTGGCTGTGTGGAGGGCATTTTGGAAGGGCAAAGCTGTGGTGGGGAAACTGGCTAAATGCCCGCTGCTGTGTAGTCCAGGCAAGAGACAGGAGGGCTGGAGCGAGGCAGAGACCCTGGGATGGAAAGAGGTGGCTCAAGAGGTATTTGAAGTAGAGTCAGTAAGACTTAAGAGACTGATTGGATAGCGAGGATGAGGGTGAAGGAGTCTGATTTGTTTCCGGATTCTGTCCTTCCCCACTGTAGCAGGCTGAATAATGGCCACCCAAAGAGATCAGGTTCTAATCCCTGGCACCTGTGAATGTTACCTGAAAAGGAAAAAATGTCTTTGTTGATATAAGTATGTTAAGGATCTTGACATAGAGAGATTGCACACACAGAGGAGGTACCAATGTGAAGAAGGAAGCAGAAATTGGAGCGACATGGCCACAAGCCAAGGAACACCAAGGAATGCAGGCAGCCACCAGAATCTAGAAGCAAGGAATGGATTCTCGCCCAGAGCCTACAGAGGGAGCGTGGCCCTGCTGACACCTTGATTTTGGACTTCTGGCCTCCAGAACTATGAGAGAATACATTTCTCATGTTAAGCCACCAAGTTCGTGGTAATTTGTTACAGCAGCCATAGGAAACAAACACGCCTACCACGGTCTGTTCTCCACACAGCAGCCAGGGAGGCCATTTTAAAACCTTAAGTCAGACCATATCACTCCTCTGCTCAAAACCCTACAATTGCTCCCCATTCTATCAGAGTAGAAGAAAATGTCCTTACGATGGCCAAAGGACCTAACCCACAGCCATGGAGTCAATTCTGACTCCAGGACACAGTAGAACTGCCCCATAGGGTTTCCAAGGCTGTAATCTTTACGGAAGCAGACTGCCACATCTTTCTCCCACGGAGCAGCTGGTATGTTTGAACCGCCAACCTTTCAGTTAGCAGCCAAACACTTAACCACTGTGCCACCAGGGCTTTCTGCCCTACATGAGATAAAATTCCCTTCCACATCTCCTCACCCTCCTCTGTGTGAGCAACAATGGCGATAGGTTCTTCCCTGCTTTAGGTCCTCTCCTCTAGGCTCAGCAGTTCTCAAAGCGAGGTCCCCAGACCAGCAGGGAAGCACCTGTGAACTTGCTAGAAATGCAAATTTTCTGGCCCCACCCTGGACCTACTGAATCAGAAACTCTGGGGGTGGTGTCAGCAATCAGTGCTTTAACACGCCCTACAAAGGCTTCTGCTGCACGCTCTAGTATCTGCCGAGAATGTTCTTCCCCCAGATTTCCTGGCCAACTCCCTTCTCTCCTTCACATCTTTCTCAGATCTCACCTTCTCAATGAGGCCTATCCTGACACTAGCCCCATCCTGCCCCACCTGACTCCCACTTATCCAGTTCTCCTTTTTACCCCTCACTGCACGAATCTCCTTCACTATATTACTGTATATAGTCTGTCTTCCCATATAAAAAAGTATTAGTTCCATAAAAGAAGAAACTTTTGCTTACTCACACAGTGGTCAATAAATATTTGTTGAAAGAAGCCATGACTTCTGACTAAGGTTATTGGATGAATGGCAAGGAGGAAGAAAAAGTACACCCATTCCTCACTTATGGACATGGTTAGGTTCCAAAGATAAGGTCGTTATGTGAAAATCAGTGTTATGCGAAAATTACATACCTGTCAAATTACATCATTACATTAACTGTCAAACCATTGAGCTTCATGGCCCAGCCAAGCTGATACATAACCTTAACCATCATAGCCTATTTATAGACATCACAGCACCTCAGAGTTGGTTACTGCCAGACATACGTTGTTAATGAGCAAAACAGTTAGACAGCAGATGTTTTACTATTGCTGAAAATGTGAAATATCAGATAACGAGACAGTCAATAAGTGAGGACTAGGTGTATTTGTGTGGATGGGTGGCCTGGCTGGGGTTGATGAGTTTTGTTTTGGACATGTTGAACTTGAAGTGCCCGTGGGACAGACAGATAAAAAGTCCAGAGGCTGTTTGATAGGTGGCTCCAGAACAACGAGAAGTAATATTATTTAAAGACAGAAGAATGAAAGGTTTAAAGAAGAAATCCTGGAGAATGGGTAGGTGAGGATAAGGAACCAGCAAGGAGACTTAAGGAGGAAACCTGAGAGGGTGGCCAAGGAGTATTTCAAGAAGGAAGATGTAGACAGTGTCAAACAGCACAAGAAGTCTAGCAAGGTTAGAGAAAAGTCTTATCTTAGATTTGGCAAAATCGGGAGATAAAATTTCCTTCCCAACAGCAGTATAATGGGGTGGAGGGGATGAAGGTGGATTGCAATGGGGAGACGAAAGACTGAGGAGAAGAAATTAAACTTATTCTGCAGAACCCAGGAAGGCAGAACTAGCAAGGGATGGATGGAAGAGCGTGGAGGTATGGGAAGCTGTAGGGTGGGAGGTTCAACTCCCAAAATTTCAACTCACAATTAGAGTGTCTGAAACTGGAGAGAAGGCATCTTGTCATCTCAGGTGTGTTACCAGAAACCGGACAGTGAGTTGAAAGGGATATTATCAGGGAAATCCAATCAGGCAGCTGTTTCAGCCAGCTAAACATCGAGTCTATGATTCATAACTTTGTCCTGCATCTGGACGAAACCCAAGGCTACAAGAAAAATACAGTTGGTCTCCGGCCCAACAGGAAAGCTTTTGGTGCTACAACTTTGAAGTTCTATCTGGGTTTACAAAATAGTCAGAAATAGGGCCTGAAACCAACCACTGTTAGAAAATAATAATTTCCTCCTCAATTAAAAGTGTGTACGGGAAATCTCACTAGGCAGGAAAACTACTGAGGAGACAGTAGCTTCCCCCTGCCCACAGGAGAGAGGGGCACGGTGGCCAGGATGCCACATAAATACTGGTGGAACTGTACTCCCTAAACACTTGTACTCCAGAAACTTCTGCTTTATGCCATCATGTCTTTAAGGGTAAGAGCTTCATATTTTCTTTTTGGATACTATGTCTGCACACACACAAACATATCACCACACACGTACATACATATGTACTACATACCACACAGGCACACATACAACATGTATACTTTTTGTGGAAACAGACCCTATCTCTCAGACCACATAAGTAAACAGATGGCCCAAGCTGTTCCCTGCCCTGTGGAGCAGGCCAGGATGCAGAGGAGAAGCAGAAATAGGACAGGGAGAGATAAAGCCTGGGGGAAAAGGGATCCAAGGCAAGAAAAAGAGAGAAGGGGAGACCTGCAGAAACAAGGAACAATGTTGAAACAGAAGGAAGGAAAGAAAGGAGAGATAGATGTGACTTAATTTGAAGCCCTGGATCTAGGTGTTTATGAGACCTGTTACATGTGCCACAGCATGGTTTTATGAATAATCCATTCATTCTACCCTTTTGCAGATTCTATCATTTACAGTTTCAAAGATTCCATCATTTACAGTTCAAAGAGCTGTAGTAAAGCAACTTTAAAAAAATCTATAAATACACCTCTAAAAGCACATTAATATCTGAAAAACGAAGAAAACCAAAGTTAATTTCTAAGTTAACTCACAGAATGGGTCTTTCTCAAAGAGGCTATTCAAATGAAAAGCTATTTATTTATTTCCAGCAAGTTTATCTCTATGTGCACTTAAGAAATGGCAAAAACCTAGTTTATCTGCCCCATGTTAGAAGAACCAGTAACTTCTATCTCGTTTTAGGCTATTGTTGTTGTGTGCTGTCAAGTCGATTTTCAACTCACAGTATCCCACGTAACACAGCAGAACTGCCCCAGAGGGTTTTCTAGCCTATAATCTTTATGGGAGCAGATCACCAGGTCTTTCTCTCTCGGAGCTGCTGGGTGGGTTCTAACCGTCAACCTTTTGGTTAGCAGCCATACGCTTAATTGTCACACCACCAGGGCTCCTTTTTTAGGCTGTTGTTACCATTAAATGATATTCTTCGTATAAAAATATTTTTTAAAAAAAAATCTAAAACTAACACAAACAAACGATCACCATATTCTTAAAAGCACAAACACAAATGTGGCCAATATATATAGTCAAGTAAAACAGGCACGACATTTCTGTGTGGTTTAATCATGACTGGCAGCAGGCATTGCAACAAAAAAAGTTCTTAGCACATGATAAATCTTAATTTTTAGTACAGGATAAACCTTTCATTTCATTGTACACATTTCACAATATTAAAAAACAGTTAACAACCTGGTTTACTTGATTAAAATCAGGAGAAAAGAGAGAATGTTTACGAGGGAGCAACAACTATGCAATAACCACGTGGTGTGAGCCCAGTCTTCAAAGATCAATCCACACGGCATAGAAACAAGTTATAAAGTCTTTACCTCTGTGAACGTATCAAGAATATACATGGAACTTAAAAAAGGTATGGCCCTTTGTGTTTAATATACCCTAGTGATAATCAATTTGGCAATGATGCACTCCTTCCAAATCACACTTGGATGGGAGAGGTGTAAGCACAGGCATTCTGTGGAGACATTTCCAAATTCAATGAAATGGCCATCCTCGTTTGTGTCTTGACTTCAGATGACTGGCAGAACGGCGAAGCTTTTTCCTCTCTTGTCGATGCAATTTCTCAGCTTCCTGTTGCTTCCTCTGCTGTTCAGACTAAAGGAGAAAGTGAAATGAGGAGAACGAAAGATAATGAAAATTCCAATACTCCTATTTTCTGTAGCCATCAGAATGCCCACAGCACTACCCCAGCCACAGCCTTGCTGCAGGGACAGATGCTTCCCTACAGGCTCCCAGGGGTAGGTGGTCCGGCCAATGGGACTATCCACTGGCAAATGCTGCCCTGGCAGAAACTGCAGGACAAAAGTCCCTTTTCATCCTCGCTCTCAAACCAGACATTCACTGTGTATGAAGGTGCCCCTGGACAAGAGGAGAAGCGCCCTGGTATGCAGTTAGAACTAAAAGTCTGAGATTGGTTTTTCAACCAACATACAAACACTACTGGGATATTTTAAAGGGAAAATGGTCCCCTACTAAAGAACCACCTTAAGAAGATGCTACTGCTTATCAAATGCCCAGAGCTTCTCTTTTAGAACTGTCTTTAGTTTATATGCCAGAACCATTAGTTTATTCACATCATCTTAAAACAAAACAAAAATACTTAGGTGTACTAAAAGTCTAGTATCCAAGCTTGGTTATGGATTCATCAGAACTAGTGTCAAAGAATTTCTGACTGTTTCCCAAAAAAAAAAATCAAATTCCCTTCAAAGGTCAGAAACTTGATACCAATAAATGCTGAGCGGACAAAGGACTGGTGACAACTGAAAAAGTTCATCGCTGGAAGCAGACTCAGGCTGACTGTGGTACACCCCCTCCCCCCATGTAGTTTTATTAACATATCTGACGGTTTAAATAATTCAAACTTTAGAATGCAGAGCTCAAAAAATATTTTTAGCTGGTAGAGTTGCACAGAAAGTAGATTGAGAAAACGCTGTTGGGGGTGTAAGTTCAAAAATTTGAAGAACACGCCTTTTAGATAACTATGAAACATGCTTGACTATAATCTGTATTTTTCTACATCCCTAAAAATATTCATTTGTATTTTAGTCTTGAAGAAAGTCTCTATATTCACCTCCAGTTAGTATTACTTAATATTTTAAAATTCAAGACTCTGGGGGTGGGGGAGTAGTGAGATAGAAAAGCAATTTTTAATACCACAAAAGAACGAATTTTCCCTATTCTAGGAAACTCTAAGTGAGCCTTGGTGGCGCAACAGTTAAGCACTCAGCTGAAAACCAAAAGGCTGGTGGTTCGAACCTACCAGCCGCTCCACAGGAGAAAAGATCTGGCGATTTGCTCCCATAATGATTTCAGCCTAGGAAACCCTATGAGGCAGTTCTACTCTGTCCTACAGGGTCACTAAGAGACAGCATCGACTCGATGGCACACAACAGGAAACTCTTTAAACTAAGTTTCTGAACATTTAAGTTCCTTTCTGATTATTGCCATTTCTTCTAGTGCCTTTTCAAAGTAATCCTGCCCTGTATATTCTTCCAAAGTACATGCCAAATTCCTCTACCTTGCTCCATCTCTGAGGTTTCCACCCTAGTCCAAGTTACTCTCACTTCTAAGCTGGACTACTACAGGAGCTGCCTTCCTAACCGTCTCCTCACATCCTCTCTTACCTTCCGTCAGTCCATTCTCCATGCAATAGCCAGAATGATTTCTTTTTTTTTTAAATAAAAACGTTATGTCAGTCCTCTGCTTATTAAAACATTTCAGTAACTTCTCACCATTCTTAGGATTAAGGCTAAAAATTTTAATATGCCCTTCTTACAAAGTCCTATATGATTTAGCCCCTACTAACCTTTTTAGTCACATCTGATACCACTCTTACTCTTGCTCACTGTGTGTTACGCACACAGGCTCCCTTTCAGACCCTCGAACGCACCATGCTTCCTCCCTCCTCAAGCAAGGACTTTGCCTATTGTTGTTGTTGCTAGGTGCCATCAAGTTGGTTCCGACTCATAGCAACCCTATGCACTACAGAACGAAACACTGCCCAGTCCTGCACCAGGCTCACAATCGTTGTTGTGCTTGAGCCCACTATTGCAGCCACTGTGTCAATCCATCTCATTGAGGGTCTTCCTCTTTTTCGTTGACGCTGTACTTTACAAAGCATGATGTCCTTCTCCAGGGACTGATCCCGCATGACAACATGTCCAAAGTATGTAAGACATAGTCTTGCCATCCTTCCTTCTAAGGAGCATCCTGGTTGTACTTCTTCCAAGACAGATTTGTTTGTTCTTTTGGCAGTCCATGATATATTCAATATTCTTTGCCAACACCACAATTCAAAGGCGTCAATTCTTCTTTCGTCTTCCTTATTCACTGTCTAGCTTTCACATGCATATAATGCAACTGAAAATACCATGGCTTGGGTCAGGCGTACCTTAGTCTTCAAGGTGACATCTTTGCTTTTCAACACTTTACAGAGGTCTTTTGCAGCAGATTTGCCCAATGCAATGTGTCTTTTGATTTCCTGACTGCTGCTTTTATGGGTGTTGATTGTGGATCCAAGTAAAATGAAATCCTTGACAACTTCAATCTTTTCTCCGTGTATCATGATGTTGCTTATTGGTCCAGTTGTGAGGATTTTTGTTTTCTTTAGTTGAGGTGTAATCCATACTGAAGGCTGTGGTCTTTGATCTTCACCAGTAAGTGCGGCAAGTCCTCTTCACTTTCAGCAAGAAGGTTGTGTCATCTGCATACAGCAGGTTGTTAATGAGTCTTCCACCAATCCTGATGCCCCTTTCTTATTCATATAGTGCAGCTTCTCCTCCCTCCTCAAGCAAGGACTTTGCCTATACCGTACTTTATACCTGGGACCCTCCCCACCCCTTCACAGGGCTCTTACTGATCTTCAAGACCCAACCTACATATCTCTTATCCTTTCCTAACTCCTCTGTCTCCCTGACAAGCGCTCTCACAGCCCTCTGCCCTCCTTTGGAGTACTTACCACGGTTATATAATTGTATGTATAACTTTTATTCACTGTCTCTCTCACAACAGACTGAGAATTATGGTGGCAAGGACCATACTTGCCTTGTTCTATGTATTCCCAGCATCTGGTACAGAGCAGGTAGGAGGCATTCAATATATATTATTCATTAATGGAAAACTCAGAAGGAAACTGTATACACCCTAGCAGATCAAATAATGATATCATCAAGACCCTTGTAAAATTATCAAACAATGGCTTTTTAACATTTTCTTGTTTCTGCTAATAAGTATATCCCTTAAAAAAAGTATTTCCTATTCAAATAATTTTGGAAAATGATATGCTAAATAAATAGGATTTGTTAGGAACTTTTGAATTAAGTACTTTACTTTTTAAGTCTTCAATATGGACATCAGTCCAAAGTGTTCTCCATATTTGTTTGATTGCAAAAGCATTTTCCACAGAGGACCTAAGAACCATTCCTGGAACACAGCTTGGGAAGCTCTGCCAGACCTTCTCAACAAAAGCAGAAGCCTACACAAGACACTGGTAAGAAGAAGCCATTGTTCTGCAGGCAAATCTCCATCCAGAAAAAGGGCTATCATTAGCCTCTCTCTAAATGGTTTTATGTGGAAGACCGTGTCATCATGTGACCGATTCATTATGATTTATGGGCCAATTTAACTCATTTCCAGGTTTTCCTTTCCTCCTTCTTCATGATCCTGTGTCTGGCTACTTCACTATATTACTCAGCAATCCTGTCACAGAGAAGGGTGGAGGATAAATGCAAACCAGCACAATTTTAATAAGGGACTGTATTAAATGAAATTTCCAAATTAGATTTAGGTCCTAACCCCAGTTTTGCCACTACTCAATTTTAAATAAGGGTAGATCTTTTCCCTCTTGAATTTTATTGACACTTTAGAAAGAAAATCCGTTGCCGTCAAGGTGATTCCGACTCATAGAGACCCTATAGGACAGAGCAAAATTGCCCCACAGGGTTTCCAAGGAGTGGCTGGTGGATTCGAACTGCCAACCTTTTGGTTAGCAGCCGAGCTCTTAACCACTGTGCCACCAGGGCTCCAGTACCGGTGTAAGGATAGACATATAGACCAACGGAATAGATTGAATACACATGAAAATACTAGAAAAACTTGAGATCTTACCTGAATATATCACACACCTAATATAAAAAGAGATTTCTATAAATAAACACACAAACGAGTCCTTAAAGTCTTAAATAAGGCTGATATTTAATAATTAAAATTTTGTTAGTCAGGTGGTAAAACATAGATCAAACTTTAACTGATGCAGTCCTAAAAAGTTTCAATGCTGCTGCTTGACTCAGCTACAATGCCATTTTAAGTATTTTTTTCTTTATATAGTTTATTTATTTATTTTTTAACTTTATTTTTTTACTGTACTTCAGGTGAAGGCTTACAGAACAAATAGTTTCTCATGAAACAGTAGTACACATATTGTTTTATGACATTGGTTAACAACCCCACAACATGTCAACCCTCTAACTTCTCAACCTTTTTTTGGTGAAAATACACAGTCAAAAATACACCATTTCAAAAATTTCTACATGCACAGTTCAGTGACATTGACTACGCTCTTCGAATTGTGCTGTTATTCTCACTTAAGATGAAGGCTAACAGAACAAAATAGTTTCTCATTCAACAGTTACTACAAATGTTGCCCTATGACAATGGTTAACAATTTCACAACACATCAACAATATCCTTACTCAACCTTGGGTTCCCTATCACCAGCGTCCTCGTCCCCTTCTGCTTTCTGGCCCTTGTCACTGGACTCCTGTACCTCGTTAGTCTCATTTGGTTTTACGGGGCTGTCCACTCCCAGGCTGAACAGTGAACCTCGGAGGTAACTTCACCACTGAGCTCAAAGGGTGTCTGGGGGCCATGCTCTCGGGGCTTCTCCAGTCTCCTTTAGGCCAGTAAATCTGGTCTTTTTTTGTGGGTTAGAATTATGCTCTACATCCTTCTCCAGCTCTGTCCAGAACCCTCTGCTGTGATCCCGGTCAGAGAAGTCGGTGGTAGCCGGGCACCATCTAGCTCTACTGGACTCAGTCCGGTGGAGGCCTTGGTAGCTGTGGACAATTAGTCCTTCGGACTAATCTCTTCCTTGTATCCTGTTCTCTTCATTCTCCCTTGTTCCCGAAGGGATGAGACCAGTGGAGTATCTTAGATGGCCGCTTACAGGCTTTTAAGACCCCAGACATTACTCACCAAGGTAGAATGTAGAGCACTGTCTTTATAAGCTGTGTCATGCCAATTGAGCTAGATGTTTCCCGAGACCACGGTCCCCAGAGCCCTCCGCCCAGCAATTCAGTCCTTCAGGGAGTTTGGATGTGTCTATGGGGCTTCCATGACCTTTCCTTGTACAAGCTGTTCAAGTTTCTCCTGTATATATAGTTTATTTTTGTTGTTGCTGTATTTTAAGCATTTCTTAGTGTTTGTTTTTAACAAAAAAATGTAATTTCTGAGCCACCTTATTTTAATTTACCATGAACTATAAACTGATATTCAACTCAGTACCTTCCAATTAAAAAAAAGTGGGAAAAGGACTGTACTTTCACACTACAGCAAAGTAGATTCCTCATTCAAATGAGCAGAAAGAGGTCTCTTATGAGTTAAGGCATCTGCTAAGCTACTAAACCTATGATCCTTTCCACAGCTGCACTGGTTCCTGTCTCACACTGAGCCATTCTTGAGTTGCAGAGGGAATCGAGAAATGTTTTAATAACACAGGGAATTTATAAGAAACTGGGGACGGGTACAATGAGTGACTCTGAACGCATATCCAGTTATTTAAATGATAAGTGTAAGAGTGCAAATTTGCACCAAACAGAGGCTGATATAACAGAAAAGCTTCTTAAAACTCAGAATAAAAAAATTCTTATCATTTTGCAAGCTCCTGGATGCAGTTAGGGAGAACTTTTAGAAGAATCACAGGTGGATCGCAAAGGACTTGAATAGGCATTTCGCCAAAGAAGATATACAAATGGTCAAGCCAAAGCCAAAGCCAAACCCACTGCCTTCGAGTTGATTCCAACTCATAGCAACCCTATGGGACAGAGGAGAACTGCCCCATAGGGTTTCCAAGGAGTGGCTAGTGGACTTGAACTGCTGACCTTTTGGTTAGCAGCTGAGCTCTTAACCACTGCACCACCAGGGCCGCACAAATGGTCAATAAGCACATGAAAAGATGTTCAACTTCACTGGTCATTAGAGAAATGCACATCAAAACCATGATGAGACACCAGTTCACATTCACTAGGATGCTATAATCAAAAAGACAGACAATAACGGGTGTTGGAGAAGATGTGAAGAAATTGGAATCCTTGTACACTGTTGGTGGGAATGTAAAATGGTACAGCCACTTCAGAAAATATTCTAGCAGTTCTTCAAAAGGTTAAACATAGTGTCACCATATGACCCAGCAATTCCACTACTAGATATATAACCAAAAAAAATGAAAACTTATGTCCATGCAAACACTTGTACACAAATTTTACAGCCCCATTATTCATAAAAGCCATTTTAAAAAAAAGGAAACAACCCAAATGTTCACCAAGTGATGACTGATGAATGGATAAATAAATGCAATATCATTTGGCAATAAAAATGGATTAAGTACTGATACAACTACATGTATGAGCCTGGAAATATGCTAAGTGAAAGAAGCCAGTTGCAAAAAACCACATATTACATGACTCCCTTTATATGAAATGTCCAGAACAGGCAAGTCTATAAAGACAGAAAGTAGATTCGTGGTTGCCTGGAGCTGGGAGGGATGAAAATATGGAGGTGATAGCTAATGAGTATGGAGTTTCTTTTTGAGGTGATGAAAATGTTCTAGAATAAGACAGTGGTGATAATTACATAACTCTGTGAATATATTGAAAACCGCTACCGTGTATACTTTAATGGTTACCCGGACACCGAGGCTGGTGGTTCATCACCAATTCAAGGCACAGTGGAACTCCTGGGTCACTACACCCTGCTTCTTTCAGGACACTAGTAACACTCGTGGCTCTCTTTCTGTCAAGCAACGTGCTCCTCTAAACCCAGGAGGGGCTCTCCCTGCAGGTAAAATGCTAGGAGAGGGAGCACAAGCCTCCTCCATAGGGGAGAAGCTTGGGAAGGGGTTTCCAAGGTGGACACACACAAAACACTACTGGAAGCTGATTTTTCTTTTGTGAATTAAAGAATAACATTAAAAAAGAAAAAGAAAAAGAAAAACTCACCCTCTTTAACGTAAATGTCAACTGTTTGCTGCCAACAGCGGTGTCTGATACATTCAACGTGCCATTTTTTGCTTCAAGTTTCAAACGATCTTCAAGGGTTTTGCTGTAGAAAATTTAAGAGAATGATTTATTGATTAGCATTATGCTTTGATTTACCACATGAAACAAATTTTAATTTAGATGATCACATGAAGAAAAATCCTCTACGTATGTGATAAACAGAAGATTTCAATCAATTAACACAATCAGTGGAAAGAATTAGGGGCACTCCAATAGTCATTATTCATAACAATAGATACACAATAAAAAACAATGACAGGAAAAAACACTCACTAATTTAATATTTTAAATGGTAGTACCAAATATTTTAATGGTTGCTACTTATCTTATTACATCATATTTCTGAATTCAAAATGCAAGGAGCAGTATTTCTGAAGCCTGTAATTTATTGTGGTGGTCAGTGGAACGCTTCTAACACATTTTATATTTAAGCCACACACAGGTTAGGTATATGAGTATTTTAATGACCCACCCACCTTCTAAGGAGCCCTGGTGACACCAATGGTTAAGCGCTAAGGTTGACAGTTCGAACCCACCCAGTGGCTCCTCAGAAGAAAAAGACCTGCCGATCTGTTCCTGTAAAGATTACAGCCTAGAAAACCCTATGGGACAGCTCTAATCTGTCATACTGGGTCGCTATGAGTTGGAATCGACTCAATAGCACCTAACAACAACAACCCACCTTCTACAAAGGAATGAATACAAAGTCCTCCAGGTCAATCCACAAAGAGATATGAGAACTTATTTTTCTTTCACTCAGTCTTAACTCACCAGACTACAAGTCACCATCCCATAGAAACAACCTCAAAAATGAATCTGACTGATCACCCTGAGAGAAAACAAGAGCAATTATACTGAGAGTTAAGTCCTACCTGATTCAGCCCTATTCACTGTTATTTCTCCCCATAGTTATATTTCTTTCTTCAATTGCTCTTTCTGACAAATATTTTCCCAAATTTAAACCTCATTTCATTTCTTGACCATGTTTCCCAAACTTTTGTAAGGTCTCTTTATACATAATCTGTGTCTGGTTACAGTTTGCTGTGCCCTGCAATTCATTATCATCTGCATAATTAACACAACCTCCCCTTTCCAATAAAGACGGTAAATTTGAACTTTGTACTAGTTATATAATACTTCATTGAACGTTATAATATTTTATTATAAAATCAGGACATTGGTCCTTTTTTGTTAACTTGGTTTAAATAAAAAAGACTGAACTAAGCCTACTGGTATATACTTTTAATAGTTTTAGCAGTTAGTTTTAACCCTTCTAGAAATGGCTAAAGCAACACTCATATCACCATGAGGAAACTGGGAAGGAAGACGAGAGGAAAAAGAGGAAGAATACGGTCCTCGCTTGTATGTTGTTACCTCCTTAAAAATCAGGACACGCACTTCCCTCTCCTAGCTTTCTTGTACCAGTTTAAACTGAATCTACCTTTTTAAAGTTAATACTAAAAAACTTGACTGAATAAAAAGATAAAGGCTAAATTTTGTGAAAGGGTCTTCTCTTCTCTGAAATATGATCTTTGTAAATAATTATGGGTAGAACGCAGCTCCGAAAGGATCCATAAGACAAAGTGATGCTCCTTTGAAATTCTTAAGCTAATGTTTGATGTTCACACCATGAGAGATTTATCTCTCGTTTGTAACTACGAGTAATGTACTAAACATACCTTCTTTACATAATTTGAGGCATAAAGCGGTTAGCATAAAAGTGGTGCTCTTTTCTAGGCAATAATGTTATTAAGAAGCACTTTTAAAGTACTTTTCATCTTCAAAGTTCTTTACAGACTAACTAATTAATCCTTTCAACTTCCCTGAGACAGAAGTATTTATCCTTTACAGATGGCAAAAAGGGAGGTAAGATGTTAAATGACTTGCCCCAGGCCACAAAAGGATTCAAGCCTAAGACCAGGATTCCATTTTAAGAATTTCTGGTTCCCAGGCGTGTGTCAGACCATACCTGATTTATAAAGTCTTCTTCAGGAAACTTTTCCAGTAACTATTCTAAACGACAAGCTTCCACATGACCAACTGAATGGAATTAAGATAGTTTTTTTTTTTTTTTAAACAAGAATTCAGAAGTAAAGTGTAAACTGACTCTAGCATATGTATGAATTATGTTAGCATAAGCAAAATCCTCAACTTGTTCATTTTTGTTCTTTTCCTTCATAACTATAAACTCTGAGGTTCCAAAGTTAACAGGAATGCTGAATAAGTATGGAGCCACTGAGACAAGGTGGTACCCAGAAAACACTAATTTGGGAAGAAAAAGGCTCTTCAAGTAAATTGGGGGAAATTACTACTCTTTTAAGAATGCCCTTATTTCCTCCATGATCGGGTATATAAATTCTGGTTTTCTCTCAATGTACTTTCGATGGGCACTTGTAAAAACTTGTTCTGTCTAGGCTACTTGGAAAGACAAGCTGGATTTAAGAATGAGCCATGGCAGAAGATCAGACACAGACAGGGACTGTGCGTGGAGATTTCTACATTAAAGCAAGTTCCACTTCCCTCCCTTCGAAAGTCAGTTTACTCAGTGCGGCTGCTAACCAGCAATTCCGAAGGCTGCTACTTGAGTGTGATTTTGGTCAGATGACTTAAAGAGTAGACAGGCACAGCTGTGGTAACACCTGAAAACTCTCTATTGTAATACAAAGCAAAATTCAGAAAATCAAAGTACAAGTCATTCTTAGTATTTAATACGAGACTGTTCAGCTGCAGCAGCCCAGGACTACGAAACCCAGCACCTGCACTCCCTTCTTCCCACGTTCTACTTCTGCTCTTCGTTCTACTTCTGCTCTTTTCCCCATCCAGGCTTCAGGTCTGTGGCGACACCCTTTGGGTACTTTATAATTGATTTTAAAGTTAAGAATTTTAAGAGTCCCTGGGTGGTACAAATGGTTAACACGCTGCTTGGCTGCTAACTGAAAGGCTGCAGGTTTGAGTCCACCCAGATCTAACTGGGTCAAGACGAACCAAAAAAAAACCCTCAAAAATCTGGAGTGATTGCTAAGAAGATAGTTACAGGCTTTAAAAGTTTAAAGTGAGTGAAATTAGTACAGAGAGGAGAGGGCTATTAGTGGAAGAACCTGAATTATTAGTAGGGTTATTTTAAAAACAAAAAAAACTACAAGGGGAAAAATCAAATTAGATATTTATTATATGCCCCAGGGAAGCTGAATGACTTACTTCTTTGAGGTTTTAAAACACACGCACATTAAAAATTTAATTTAAAAATATTTAATTAAAAAATAATGCCCCTCAACTGAGAGGTTTTTTAATTGCTTTGTGTGGAAGAGGAAGTAGAAGAATGGAAGATGATATATATAAAGACGTATGCTTCAACACAGCATTTAGGAGCATTAGATGCTAAATTAAATTAAGTCACCTTTCCAAAGTTTACACCAAAAGGAAGAAGAGAATGAAGAAATGGAATCCCAGATACATGGGAAGTTTTAAGTATTTAAAACAGTTTAAGTACTTTGTTTTAAATAACTAATTTTGACCAATATTTACATATACTGGAAGGGTTACTAAAAATTCCACTTTGATGCTTTCAGTTTGCATATGCTGCTTCAAAGCCCTTCTCTCAGGAGAGGTAAATTCAAGCAACCACGAACTCTAATGTCTCATCAATCAGCTCAGCTAAGATTTGAAAAGATTCCTAACATCCGTTGTTGCTTCAAGTGTGAGGAAACAGGTACTCTGGTCAGAGTGCAAATTGCTAAAGTCTTTCTGGAGGCCTTACCTATCATCACCCCTTTTGATCAAGCAAAGCTCATTACTAGGAATATATTCTAAAAAAAATACTAAGTACACATCTGTAATTGTGAAAAAGGTAAGAGAGAAACAACAAACAACCTAAACCTCCACAATTAAGGGGATAGTTACATAAATGGCACATCCACCTTACGCAATACTTACGCATTCATAAAGCCATCTGTTCCCAATAAAGGCTACAGCCTAGGAAACCCCATGGGGCAGTTCTACTCTGTACTATGGGGGCACTGCAAGTTGGGATTACTAGATGCCACACAACGACAACCAGATAGACCCACAGGTACTCACAAAGAAAATTTCCAAGACATATTGTTAAATGAAAAAAGCAAGTAAAACCACAATGCAATTAATACAATATATTCATGTTAAAGAAAGAAAAGCTGAAAACTGTGCATATGTGAGTGTGTACATATATGAGTGAATGAATTTTAAAAAGCTAGCAGGATGGCATACAAAATTACCTCAGGGAGGAAGTATGGGGGATAAGAGAGACTTTCACCTTTTATTCTATATTCTTAAGTACTACAATTATTATATGCTCACGCATTACTTGAGTACATAGTACTTGAGTAATAAAATATTCTCTTTTTAAAAATGTTTAGAATTAAACTGTTTTCAGAACTAGATGTTTTCAAATGCTTATATTAAAACAAGATCGCATTCCTTCGGTTTCTACCGACTATCAGTGAGGAAAAGTAGTGGACGGGTAAAAACTTGCCATTTTTAACTCACAAAGTGGATACTGTGGTAGATGTGATAAGAAACTCACTGGGAAGAGCTACTAAAACTACCTGGTGAAGAAGATGAGCTCCTCAAAGGCAGGGACTGTCTTAAAAATCTTTGAATTTCCAGGGCCTATCACGGAAACCCTGCTGGCATAGTGGTTAAGTTTGCTGCCAACGAAAAGGTCGGCAGTTCGAATCCACCATGGCCTTTTTTTGGCCTTCGTTCCATGGACCTTCCTGTCCCATCTGACTTCTGTAACCGTTCCCTTCTCTGTGAAACTCTCTCCAGGCTTTGTTCTTTCCCGTTTTTCCTCCTTCCTCTTTGCCAACTCCTTAGTATTTTTCACTATCCATCTTTTTTCCTTTGCCTCTCCTCTAAATCAGAATTCCTAGCCCTAAGGAATCAGTATATTTGTGACCTCTCTAAAATTATACGCATTCTTTGCATACATTTGTATTTTTCTTAAAGAAAGGTTTTTATAATACACTCAAGAAAAAAATGTGTTTCTCAGTTCTCATATCATTCTACACATTTATGGGAAATCATTTTTATTCCACAGTTTTAATTATACAATAACGGCTTTTATCTCTCAAACCAATGTCGCTGGCCCTATCCCTCGAGTGTCAGAGCTACACTTCCATTCGTCTACTGAAGATTGTCACAAGAAGACATTTGGGCACTGAAGACTTAACATGCTGAAAACCCAGCTCATTACTTTTAGCCTTAAAGCTGGTTTTCATTCTGTATTCTTTATCTCAGTGACAGCATTACTAGAAATTTCAACATCATCCTTGTGACTATTCCTTTCTCTTTTGATATGAAATTAGTAGCCAAGCATGTTGTAGTTTATGCTCATTTTTCTTACTCTTACGTAGTCTTCTGAATAATGTAGTTTTAAATATGTCTGCTCCTCTCTACCCTAGGCTTTCATCATTTCTGACCGGGACTATTGTGATAGTTTAACTGACCTCTGGGTGTCCAATTTCTCCCTGCATTCTCTCTCTAAAACTGAGATATTTCAGTTAATAGCTTTCTAGAAAATAGGGATTTTTACGCCTGTATTTTCTTATTTTTATTTTTTACAATACTGCTTTTATTATAAAAGTATTTAATTACAGAGGAGATGCTGAACTAGATCTGATCATGTTAATCTTAGCTTAAAAATCTTTAATGGCTTTCCACTGCTCAGGCTGGGGCCACGCCTTGCTAGCCTCATCCTCAGCTACTCTTCTCCACATACTTTACAGTCTAGTGTAGAAATATTCCCCACCCCAACTTTATCTGGGACACTCCTTTGTTCAGGCTGCTGCCTCTGCCTAGAATGCCATCTCTCCCACAGTGCTTTCAGTGCTCATCTTTTCATCTTTCAAAAGATCAATTTCAATATGAACTTTTATGAAGACTTTCTTAAATCTCTAAAACATAAATCCCTTTCTTTCTTTTGCACTTTCACATACCTCTTTATAATTCACAGAGTATCAGCCAGAGTGTGAACTCTACAAGGATGTAAGCTGTGCCTTTCCTTTCCACCTCCACCATCTAGAGCTGTACTCTGCTCATACTAGGCACTCAGTAACTGTTGGATGAATGGGTAGATGAACAACTCACAAAGAAAGTTAGCATCCTACAAGTCACTTACGTACGCGGTAGCAAACATATGTATTTATCTAAAGTCATATTACTATGCTAAGCAAAGAGGAGAACTCACTCAAGTACTGAGTTACCTTTTGCTATTCTCTTTTCCCTTTATATACAGTGAAACCTGTGAGAGCTGGAACTCAACAGGATTGCCTTGTTTTTCTGGGTCTCGGAAGTTTTCTGCCTTTGACAGGGTGCAGTCACCACTTTAATATCGCTTGTTTTAGTGGAAAACATTTGAATTTTCCTTCTCTGACAAGTTTTCGCCCTACACAGGTTCCAGGTTTTGCAAGTTTTTCTGTAGAGTTTTAAAGCTGGGCAGGTCCAAGTGAACACTTAAAACACAAGATACTCCATTTTGATGCTGTCCTTTACTGACTGCCTTGTGGTAACGAGCAGAATAAACAATAGGAGTCACTTTTGGTCTCTGAAGGATGATGGTTCTATGCTTCATTAAACAATACTAAGATATTGCAAGTTCAGGATTTGCCAAAATAATCCAGTCAAGACTGGAATTCAATAAGCACTTTGAGCCAAAATGCTAGCACACTGCAGAGGCTGTTCATACCAAAGGGTTATTACTTTAAGCAACAGGATTTTTGTTTTACGCTCATATAAGTATCATCACTTATACAATTCCTCTTCTTAAAACAAATGTTTACCTTAATTATGCTTAGCTTAGTAAGAATGTTTAACTAAAGTTTAACTTAGCTTTTGTTTATTCATGAAACATTGTATTTTTATTCCTTTTGTTTTTTACATTTATTCTGCTACAACCCACAGGCAGAAGGAAGAAAGGGAGGGAGATTAGTTACAGCTCCCGTCTCCTATTACTGTGGTTACACTAAAGACAACTTCTCCCAGATTTTCCTATCAGTGAGTCCTGAGGCAAGTAAGTTCTTTTTCAGCAGACCTTGAAGGAGTAACTTCCTGAGTTACCTGATGTATCCAAGGCATAGAAGACTGACACTTTCAACAAGTACTTACTAAGTACCTACTCTTTTCTAGGTACTGATCTAGGAGCTAAGGATAAAATCGTAAATAAAACAAGACAAAAACAGCAGATAATCAAATAAATTCACTTTACAGAATCAGAATACTAGAAACAAGAAGTCTTCCCTCTTGGAGTTCTGAGTAGGACTCCAAATAAAACATTTATGAATAGAAGCTGTATAAAAAGTGAGACTATATACACTGCTGGTGGGATTGTAAAAGGGTACAGCAGCTGCTTTGGAAAAAAGTTTGGAAGCTACTCAAAAGCAATTCCACTCCTAGGTATATACCCAAAAGAAATAAAAACACATTTCCACACAAAAACATATTCATGAATGTTCACAGAGCATTGTGCATAAATAGCCAAAAAGTGGAAACAAGTGAGATGTCCATTAACTGATGGACGGATAAATAAAATGTGGTATATCCATAAAATAAAAATGAGTGAAGTACTAATACATGCTGCGACACAGATGAACCTTGACAACTTCACGCTGAGTGAAAGAAGCCAGTTGCAAAAGATCACAGATTATGATTCCATGTATATGAAATGTCCAGAACAGGACAATGTATATACAGAGAAAGTACATTAGTGGTTCCATAGGTCTGGGAGGTGGGATAAATAAGGAATGACTGCTAAAAGGTTTCTTTCTGGGGTGATGAAATGTTCTAAAAATTGATTGTTGTGATGGTTGTACAACTATGTAAATATACTAAAAACCACTGAATTGTACACTTCAAGTTGGTGAATTATATGCTACATAAATTAAATCTCAATAAAGCTGTTAGCAATAATGAGGTTGGTAGGTAAAGATCTTCAAAAAATATCATGAATATTACTGGCTTCTTTATTCACCAACATACATTTTGTTAATCAGAACCAGAATTTTTAGATGCCTCTGGATTCTAAATTGAAGAATTCATTCAACATTTAGTGCTCCAGATATTCGCTAGAAACTGGAGTAACAAAGTTAAGATATATGTGCATTCCAGAAATGTCCTGTTCATTGATTTCCTCCCCAGCTTCTGCCTCCTTTCACTTCTGAATGGGCCTTCCTTAAATGAGCCTCTCCCTCTTGACCTCACACACACATATATGCTGGTGGGAGATACTGGGACATCTTTTTCTTAGCAAAGAAGAAAACTCACCCTTCAGTACTGAAGGTGAGGCTATAAAGGGACATAAAGGGACACGGGAGCATAAAGCCAAACACAAGCTGGGAGCTAGAGAAGAGCATGGTAGAGAAACGGTATTTACCATGACCTAACACCTTATCTAGGAGCCCGAGTGGTGCAATGGTTAAAATGCCCAGCTGCTAAAGGTTAAAGGTCAGCGGTTCACACCCACGAGTGGCTCCATGGGAGAAAAGACCTGGTGATCTGCTTCCATAAAGATTACAGCCTAGGAAACACTATGGGGCAGTTCTACTCTGTCTTATACGGTTACTATGAGTTGGAATCAACTTGATGGCACACACCACCACCACCACCTTATGTGGAATGCCGGGGTGGTGCAGACAGTTAACATGCTCAGCTGCTAACAGAAAAGTTGGCCGTTTGAGTCCACCCAGAAATGCCTCAAAAGAAAGGCCTGGTGATATACTTCTGGAAAAGCAGTCACTGAAAACCCTCCGGAGCACAGTTCTACTCTCACACATGGGGTTGCCATGAATCGGAACTGACACCTAATCTGCCCTGCCAGGTCCCTGTTTCTTCACTTCCTGACTGCTCTCCTTGGCTCCCAGACCTTCAGGCTTTTCTTTCAAGACATCTATGTCTTGTGACGATCTCTCACATCTCAAATCTTTTATACCAATACTTTGCCTAGAAATTCTTAAAGCAGAGACTTACATAATTTACAGTTTATACACAATTTGGGCTTGAGTACCTTGACACATGACAACTCCAACTGATTAAATAATACCACTCTTCTTGATCTCACAATTTTCCTACAAAGGGCTTAAAATTTCTGACAAATTTTCCAAGTGTACGTTGCAATAATCAGGTAAAATGAGATGGGAATAATCAAAATTGAGATCCTAATTTTTAAAAATAACTCTTGTTAAGAGGCAGAGAATTTGTTACCTTTTAATTACCACTGTCCGAAAGGGTTTCAAACCACTGATCTGTGGGGCACAGTAGAAGATAAATATCTTGCCCTAGGTTAGGAAACCCAATGGGAAAATACAAGGACAATAAAAAAAGAGAGTATAGTTTTTGCACTTTGAATGTGTTCTAGTGTATATTTACCAAAACTCATAGGGCTATGACCTTTATGGATGAATTTTAGTGTACGTGTAAACTATTCCTCAACAAATTGTTAAAAAAAAAAAATTCTAAAGACCAGTGTATTTCAATAGTGACATTGTCCCCTCTGGCCTTGCTGGGATGTTTCCCTCATGTTAACTCTGTACTGCTGCCCTCCCTGCCCCTTCACTCCCTCCATCCAGCCCCCACCACTCAAAGAAGTTGAAAATGTCATCTTTAGGACAATGTGCCAACTAGGAAATGCAAGGGCTGGGACAACATGTCAACTCTTCACTGAAAGTAGTGTTACTTACTTCATCAGCTTCTGTTTTGTTGTAGAATCTTTGAAGCTTCTGAATTCTTCTCCCGCTTTGATCTCATAAAACTGGGGCTTTAGTACTGTCTGCTGGTCCTCCTTGATGCGTTCCTGCCGCTTCATTCTTTCCTCTTGATGGAGAAGTCTGCGCTGTTTCCTGACCTCTTCAACCCAGTCCTTTTCATCATCTGAACTCTCAGAACTTTCTGCATCACTTGGTTTTCCTTCCGGCTCTTCCTCTTCCTGAAAATAAAAATAGTAAGAAGCAGCCCCTTTCTCCCAACCAAATACTGGCTGATTGTTTTCTTTTAAGTAGTATTAGCCCATCAGAGTACACGATAGCTGCCAATAAGCAAACATCTGACAAAATGCCTTTAATTAAATAAGATATGCTCCAAAGCTAAATATCAAACAAATTTTATCCCAAGTATATTAAAAAATTCTTCTAACTTACACAGAAACTTTATATTAAAGAAACAGTACTAATGCTAAATGATAAAGAGTACATTACTTGTTCATGAAGTTCTGGTTGATTTAAAAGTCTTAGTTTCTTCTTCCTTTTTTCACTCATTTTTGAAACAAGTGGATTCAAAAGCCTAAATTCTTCACTCTCTTCATCTACTTGGAAATCAGGGTTCTCAAACATAACTTTAAATCGATCATCAGTGAGAATATTAGGAAGGCTCTATAAGAAAAAGAGAATAAAGCATGTAAAATTTTAAGTTAACATCTTGATAAAATCTGACTAGAGAAAAATGGCTCCAGAACATTCACTCCCTGATAGACTGATAAGTTGTATAAGGAATACATTAGGAAATTTCTTTAAAACTAGTTTCTAGAACTTTTTAGTTGCCCCTGGAATTTGTCTCCCACCAAAAAACAAATTCTATTAATCTATTTTGCACCTAATCTATATTATTTGGTCATTATACATGATGAACTAAAAACAAGTCTTTTTTGGGCTAACTTCATCTTCAATGCATAGAATTTTCTAACATTTATAATGCAAAACACTTTTTAAGAAAATAGTGTTTTGAAACATAAATTTTTAAGCATAGCTACTATGATGAATTACAATTAGTGAGTCTTTCAACTTCACATTCCAAATCTGGGAGAGAAGTATACATCAATAATACATCAACAATTAACATAGTGGGGAGTGGGGGAGGGGCAGGTGGTAAAAGTTTACTGACTCCAAATGATGTTCTTTAGAAATACAGGGGATATTTCAGCCCTTATAGGATAGTCTCATTAATTTTTCCCCCACGCCATTTAATTGTTCTCAAAGGATGCAGTGTAAGACTTTGCCATTCTCATATATAACAAAACTTTGGCTATAAAGGCTCGTTTGGGTGGCTAAGGACTGATATTAAATTCTTTTTTATTCGTGTCATTTTGAACAGAAAGTTTTCTAATTGTATTGTAAACTTGTTTGTTCACTTGAACAGATGACAGCATCTTACACACTCAGGATTCTCTTACTGCTCCAGCTAGCTATTATAGGTGTGGAAACCAGACAAACCAACCTACTCAGAATGAACTGTAAATCAGCGTAAACAGTCTTGAATATAGGCTGGAAAAGCTAACCTATTTGTGATGGACAGCAGCTCTACTGGAAACCCTGGTGGAGCTGTGGCTAAGAGTTTGGCTGCTAACCAATAGGTCGGCAGTTTGAATCCACCAGGTGCTCCTTGGAATCCCTATGCGACAGTTCTACTCTGTCCTATAGGGTTGCTATGAGTCGGAATCGACTCAACGGCAACAGGTTTGGTTTGGTATTTCTGGTAGCTCTACTAAAACCCAAAACCAAACCCGGTGCCATCAAATCGACTCCAACTCATATGACCCTACAGGACAGAAAAGAACTGCCCCATAGGGTTTCCAAGGTTGTAATCTTGATGGAAGCAGACTACCACATCTTTCTCCCTCGGAACTGCTGGCGGGTTGGAACTGTCGACCTTTGGGTTAGCAGCTGAGCACTTCAACCACTATGCCACCAGGGCTCTGAGCTCTGCTAAACCAACTTTATTTTACTGTTTCTCCACTAGTGAGAGTAAATAAGGTTATAAAAGTAGTTGAGTTCTAAATAGATGGGGTGTACTTAGGTAACAGATCTACCAAAATCTGGTAAATCATGAGACATTAAGGAACTGTTGATTATTTTTATCAGCCTAAAAACTGGTAAGTCTTTACCTAAAATTCTATGATATACTGAATTCAAAAAGTCTTCTCTGATTAAATATAGTTTCCAAGACAGAGTTAAATCAAGGAAGAAACAAGGATAGACAAGATCTCGTTCCTGATCCTAAGGGGTTAGCTCACAATCTAGTGAGGAAGAAAAAAAAAAGATTGTAAGCAGATATGCTACAAGACATGAAGGATGCTAAAAAGACATAGGAGCAGTACTATAAAAAAAGACATAGGAGCAATTCTACACACACACACACACACACACACACACACACACATAAAAAGACATAGGGAGCAATACTATCTATCTATATAAAGATATAAGAGCAGTACTATATCTATGCGTGTGTATATATATATAAAGACATAGCAGCAGTAGTATAGAGTACAAAGTAAAAAGCAATTCCAACAAGAGACATGTTAGGAGGGTTCAGAGGGGACATGGCACCTAGGAGGAAGCTTGAAAGATGAATAGCCTTCAATAGATAGAAATTTGAACGAAAGAAAAAAGAGTATTTCCAGCAGACTGAAAAGTAGTGAACAGTCTGATGAAGTAAGAATAACGCTGTACTTGGAACAAGTATTTTTTGACAAGGCCAGATTATAAAGAATTTTAGATACTATGACCTTTATTCTGAAGGTAAGAAAGAACCAGGAGGAAAGAAGAGGAAGAGGAGGATGAGGAACGGATGATAAATAGAAGTGTGCTATAAGAATCTCAGATGAGAAGAAAATTGTACTTTAAGAGCTCTCAACAGCATGTGTATGATGGACTGTTGAGGGAGAGACAAGAGTCACAAGAAAGAATGAAAAGGTCACTTTAGGAAACCAGGACGAGAGACAGGGCCTGAATTAGGGCAATGGGAACATAAGAGAGGCAGCAAATCCTTTTTAGGAAAGGATTACTGGCATAGGTTAGAATCGATAAATCCAGTGATGGGTGAGGTAGGAGGATTAAGAGTTAAAAACAGGGTTAGAAACTTCTCTAATGTTTCTATCTTAAGCGAGTAGAAAGCTGGTGATAACAGGGAGTTAAGATTCATCATTGGAGATCATAAGAGAAAGAGGTTTAGGGTAAAGGGCAAGAAATTATGTTCCAGTTATGACTGGTTAAGTTTGTGGTACAAGGAGAGTATCCATCTGGATTCTGATGAATAATTAGGTAGGCATCTG